ACTGTCTAATGGTATGTAAATTCAACTTCACCTTCTGCAATGGTTTATGGTTATGCTATTTATTTATCTTCAGATTATCCACAATGTTACATAACAGATATGATAGTGGAGCCATTCAGCAGAATGAGTTTTATTTTGAATATAATTTGATTAGAAATTACTTCTGCATTTGTTTTATTCAAATTAAATGTATAATCCAAGATATTTAAACTGTAAAAGACACATTTTACACAGTGGTACTGATAAATTATCAGTCAATGGTAAATATCTTGAAAAGTAACTTGAAGACATTAAAGTTAAAATTCCTGAGAACGATAATAGAAAGAAACATGATTCTATTTCTCTCAGATAAATTCTCCTCACCTGAATTATTTCCAGCCGTAACCCTGTTTTCCTCCTTTGACTCCATGATTCTTTTTTCCTTTTTAAATCATCACTGTGGATGTTGTCCTTTTAATAAAAACATGTCAGGATGAATTAGATTGACTGGTGTATTTCAGCCTGCAGACATGAAACAGTTAACTGTCAGCAGCTCCCTCACATGCAGCTCCATGCAGTGGACTATGAAATATTCGGAGGACAATTGGTTAAGTGGAGTTAACCGTTGCCTTTTTCTCCCCGAGGTATCTTCCTTTTTGATCCCGCCGAGCCTGGCGCCTCGCAAAACACAACTTGTCTGGCTTATTAAATAGTATGACCTGGAGAAAGAGAAAACGCCTGTTGCTTCTCAACCGAGGCCATTGTGAGGCGAGAAGAGCCTCTGACAGGCCTTAAATTGCAGTAATGCTGTGTGACCAACAGTCATACCTAATCAATTTCTATCCTGCCTGCGCACGTTCTCCTGTTTCATTTCATCTTCAGATCAATTATTCGACTCATGCAGTCACATTTTGTATTTTTGCAATGCAATCCCCACTTTGTTTTTACTTCATCATATATGAGCGTTCTTCCCCACCCTGTCTTCTTTGATAAAGGTATCACTTTGATATTGTCATGACTCTTTCGTCCCTGCAGGTTTACAGTAGGTGAATAATAGTAGCTTAAGGATGGAGTGGCCGGCTAATGGATGTAAATGGTCAAGAGAATCCTCCCCACTGGTTAATTGCGCTAAAATTGGTCTAAGCTACTTTGTGAGGGGCATCAATAGCCCCGCGCCGCATGGGGTCTGTATGATTAACTTCTCCCTCCTTTCAGAGGCCTCTTGATGTTCCCTTCGAAGGCAGCAGGCCAATCAAAACCGCGCTCCCAGACGTCACGAGGCCAACCTGACGCGCTGATTGGTGGGAGCGAGGTCGGGGGACAGCCCCTGTCCTTTTATAGACGACCCCGTCCAGCGCGTTAAAGCTACCGGGCACCGCTGACAGCGCGCAGAGACGCACACCTATTGGACTCGGTTACACCTCAGCGTATCCCATATTCTTCCTGAACGGGCCACGCGGACGTGCATGGCCCCATCCCCTTGCATCGCGATGAATCCTGCGCAGGGGTCGCCGTCCCAGGACGCCAAACAGCTTCATCAGAAAGAGGAGACGGACACAGAGGGAGAGGAGCCGCAGCCAAAAGACATGACCACGGAGAAAGGATACAAACTGCAGCGGAACAGCCTCCCGTTCAGCGTCGAGTCGCTGATATCCAAGAAGCCCACCTGTCGGACTTCTTATCCCGCCTCAGATTTAGCGCTGGTCCTGCCCAAGCCCGCGGCGGGGCAGGGCGCGCCGTTCTCTCCAAGGACTTTTTACGCGGAGAGTAAAGTGGCCGCGGAGAGCTCGCAGGGTGTTTCGAGTAGTTCCAGCGAAGACAGCCCGCAGTTCTGTGAGAAAGATCAGAGCACTTGGTACCAGGCGTCCTCCTTTTCTACTCCTCCTCGTAAGTCCGTCCCTCCGCTGAGTTCAGTGAGCTCCCAAACAAGGGCGCACAGCCTTAATCTGTCATTTTTATTGTCAGTAACACAGGCTGCGAAAATATCAACATGTTTTGATGCTTTATGATCACAATACTATAATTTCCCCGTTGTGTCGCAGTAACTTTACTGTTAATATCTCAAAAACTACATGCATATTTATAGAGATGTGTGCCACTCTGCGCGTAAAGAGAATATTTGGATGCAGCACTGTTTTTTTCCTTGTATTTTAGTCTATATTTATCTTGATATGTTAATTATAGTGTACCAATAATAAATAAAAGAGAATAATAAAAAATATGAGGATGATAGCGTTTTTACATTGCGCAATTTGCAGTGGCACAAAAAATATATATACTAGGAGATTTTGTCAACAAAAATACAGTTTGGCCTATTTGTTGTGATTGCATCATGTTTGTGTTTACGTCTAACTTTAAGGCTCATTACCAAGTTTCAATTGAATCTGACCTCATATTTTCTTTGTATGTTCCTCCTCTAACAGGCAGCTCAAGTCCACCTCCGTGTACTTTAAGGAAACACAAAAACAACAGGAAACCTCGGACACCCTTCACTACCTCCCAGCTGCTTGCGCTGGAGCGCAAGTTTCGCCAGAAACAGTACCTCTCCATCGCCGAACGAGCCGAGTTCTCCAACTCGCTCAACCTGACGGAGACTCAGGTGAAAATCTGGTTCCAAAACAGGAGGGCCAAGGCCAAGAGACTGCAGGAGGCCGAGCTGGAAAAGTTTAAACTGGCCTCCAAGCCCGTGCTGCCCGCCTTCGCGCTGCCCTTCCCCATCGGTGCGCACATGGGCTCTCCAACGTGGGGCCCGTCAAACGCCTTCCCGAGGCCCAGTCTGCCGGTCCCAGGACTGTTCAGTGGACCCGTCACTTATGGGATGTACTATTTGTCTTAGTATTCCTGTGTGTGTGTGCGTGCGTGCGTGAGTGTGTGTGTGTGTGTGTGTGTGTGTGGTTTAAGAGTAAGAGAAAAGTTTTCTGGTTGCAATATGAGGATGGTGCGTCCTTAACACGTTGGAAATTTGTATTTTATATTTGGAGTTTAAAGATAATTTTTCTAACAACCAGAATTGAAGACCAATACAATCTGGCTCACGTTTTGACTTACAAGTGTATGCGTAATCGGACTGAGTGCGTTCACTTGCTCTGCGCATTTTGAGTCAAGTGATGTGGCTTGAGGATCCACAGACAATATTCCAAATGTAAATGTCAGGTTTTTAAACGACAAGCCTTAAACGTCTCATTCCAGTCCCTTTACTTTCAGCAGTTTGTGAAAGTGGACATTGAAAGTGTGATCAAACATGGAGGCAGTATTCTGCTCAAAAGTACTTAAATGGTGTCAGTGCCTTAAGACCAGTGTATCACTTGAACTTTTCCCTGCTCATTCAGCACTCACTGTTTTCTGTCCACGCACAGTTGCTGTTCGAATGTCTGTATTTCCAGTGGTTCCTGTCACAGTTTCTACACAGGGCTATTTTTTAAACTTGGAGCAAAATTATATTTTAGAAAAAAACACGTGTATTAGATATTTTTTTATCCTCAACGAGGCCTTTATGGGAGAGATCATAGATTTTCTTTGGGGAATGTTGCTGTAAATGTAAATACAAATGTGTAGTGTTCATAAAGTCCTGCAGCCTCGCTTCAAGAGCGGCAGGAAACGTGGTATTTATTGAATATCTTTGTATCTGTACTGTGTACATACATCATTCTATATAAATGTTCAGTTACTTGTAAAGACTGATTTTAGAAAATAAACATTATACAAGATCTGAAAGTGTCTTTGTTTTTAATGTATGAATAATAAACTAATCTTTTGTAAGCCTATGGAAAGGGGTCTGAGAGTTTATAGAAAGTATTACTCTAAGAAATCACTTAGATCACTTAAAAAAAGTGGATAATATAAACAATAAAAAGTGGCATAAATAAACTACTTTAGGCTAGATAATTGTAATCTGCAGACAATTGTCTGGAAGTTTATAGAAAGTACTTCTGCAAGAAACAGAGATTACATTCAAAAAAGTGGAAATAAATATAAATAATAAAAAACTGGCATATATACCTAAGGCTAGGTAATTGTAATCTGCAGACAATTGTTCTCTTGTTTGTTTTTATGCATTTAGTCAGCCAAAGAAAATTATATTTCCTTGGTAAGCATGCCACAAAACTCGACCACTGCTGCCAAAAACCTCCGGGTCTGACCTGCTTTTATTTGACTGTTGTAATTATCTGATTCCAAAATTGCCCAGTGATTGTGTAATTTTTTCCAATAATGAGCGGTCGTTTCTGCCCGGGTTTAATAATCAATTTGTTAAATACTTGGATGATTTATGTAGAAAAGTGGATTTCAATCACACACTAAGGACATTTCTGGAAACTGCAGGTTTTGACACGCTCTGAATGTTCTACATTTCAACACAGTAAGTGAAAGTACATTTTAATCCAACACAGTGACTTGTGCTGAAAACCAACGCAAACTTGTGTTTTCCTAAAGAACAAAACGCAAAGGTTGTAAAACGGAAGCTTGAGCACACACACGTGCACGTCTACTTACTGTCCAGTTAATAAAATTCCAAAACAACTAAGACAGAGCACATAATAAAACTGGATGCATACCAAAGCTATATTCGGAGTAGATAATGCCACTGGACTTATTTTCAGAAATTATGTGAGATGAGCACAAATTAACAGCTCAATAAAACTGGGGGAAATAATTGTTGAGGGCCCTGCCGAATTTTAAAGCGATGTATTGCATTGTTTCTAAATGATTGTCTACACGTGATTGTGGTGATTACTTTTAACTTTGTGACATTTTAATCTAAATGCATCATTATCATTTTAATTTAAATTCCCCTAATTAAAGCAAACCGTTAGAGAGCTCCGTTGTTAAACATAATCCCCCAAACATGATTTAGAGTTAATTTTCTGTACGCATTTACATCATGATCTCCTAATGAAACAGTCAGATACAGATATAGACCTATAGTGAAACACTCGGCGCAGATTCGAAGAGATAGAAGATTCGAAGAAACGCGCTGTTTGGTGCGTAATGTCCGCGCAGCTCGTTGTAGGGGCTCTTTCTGTCCTGTGGAGGGCGGTGGCGGGCTCACTGCTGCCCCTGGTGCTGACGAAGAAAAGGCACTTCCGGTGTTCCGTTCTGTCACAGACATCTCTTGGTGCAGCGAGGTGAGTGCGCTAATGCTGCGGGTTGTTGAATGAAACGATGTGCGGTGGAAGCGGCTGAGACGATGATTTATTCGTCCTGCACATGTATTCATGTGAACGAGGTAGAAACGCGAACCATCTGTTCACGCGGCGTCACGGAACCTTCCACTTACAGAGAGATTTCTCTGACCTTGGCTAGCAAGCTAACTGCGCTAGCCGCCGTTAGCAGGCTTTGCCGAGGTCCTGAGTGGAAGAAAATGTCAAGGACCCAGTGTCATTGGTTACTTTAAGACTAACTAGCTTCATTACTATGTTTTATCCTCACATAGTTATTAAGTAGGATTTAACCACTGCAGTCAGGCAGCCGTGTTCGCTCTTATTGTGACTGCGCTGTTTTAATGTTCGTTTGAACGCACTATAAATAATATCCTATCACCAGAGCCACATCCTGAAGTCATCCAATACAAGCTGAGTGAGTTTCTGTATCAAACAAAGACAAACCAGAGGGGTTACATTGGACATGGACGTGTTTCTGTGTGTCTCTAACTACACTAACTCACAAGGCTAACTGCAGGCCTCCTCATGTACTTACTATAAGTTAATGACATTCTGTTGGTTATGTGCATGTAAGTATTGTGTCAGCGGTGTGTACACGTGTTTCTTGTACATTACACCACAGCATTAACAACATGCACAAACAATAATGCAGCAGTCAATAAATCACCTTTCTGGAGAGATGGGTTCAGTTTGTTAAATAATAGAACTTAAAAAGCCAGTGGATGTGGAGTTTAGAGGTCTTTTCTTGATTCAAACTATTGAGCATGCATGTGTAACCTTGCAATATATTTATTGTAAGCTTTTCAGTTGAATGTAACCTGGGTGTTTTTTGGTTTAATTCATGGACTAAACAATTTTCTTCTGCTCTTCCTCTCAGACAATAAGGATGGCAGGTCGTCGTGTAGCCCTGAAGGCCATTGACTGGGTGGCTTTTGCCGAGCGGGTTCCACCCAACCAGAGGGGCATGTTCAATGCTCTGAAGACTCGCAGTGATGCCATCGCTGCCAAGTTAGTTAAACAGACATCCACATTATTCAGAAGGAAATTAATCTTTTAGCTTTGGTGTTTAATTGAATTCCCACACTTAAAATACTAAAGCTGGCCTATGTTGATTACTTACTTTCAGTATTGCAATTTAATACCAGTAATTTACTGATTTGTATTCTCTCTGACGATGACATTCATCCAAGGAATGTTTTATAAAAAGCCTGATTAGAGAATGGTGTAAAACAGGCTGTCCGATAGTTACTGTTCCTCACCTGGCTGAGAGGCTTTGGGAGATACTGATAGGGAATCACAAGCATCTGCATGGGAATTTGAGTGCAGATGTTATTCTTTTGTATTTCCATATCATGGCTTTTGTCAGGTTTTAATAGTGTTAGTTTCCTTGAACATTTTTAGCAAATAGTTTGACCAAATTGAAGTCCCCAACCTGCAGACACTTATTGATAATCTGCCTCTCAGGTTTTTTTTGTGTCTCTTTTATCAGCAAACTGCATAGGATTATTAGGTGGTGTCCTTGAAAATATATAATCTTTCTTTCTACACACAATTATCTCTTGCCATTAAGTTTCTCCCTTCATTCTGTCATCAACTCAGGAACTCATTTAGTCATTCTAGTTTTATTAACTCCATCTTCTCTCCCCATATCAGACTAGCCTCCCTACCCGAGACTGCTGTCACCATTGACTGGAGTTTCTACAGGGGCGCTGTGGCCAAAGCCGGGATGGTTGATGAGTTTGAGAAGAAGGTGAGCTCAACATTATGAGAGCATTGAGAAAGTAACCTGACAGCCATAGATTCAGAAGCCCACTTCTGACATGACATAGCAACTTTTACTTTGGTGAGTGTTTGCATATTCTTAGTTAATCCACAGTAAATTTGGTGGAACCTCCTGAGGTTCACTGGAGACTTCTGAATCAAACTGAAATCCATGTCATATTTGAACTCAGGAAGTTACTTTTGAACAACTTTGAGTGTCATTGCTAGTAGCTGTGGCAAGCAAATTACAGTTTGACTGCCTCAGGTATCAATCTACAAGACATAAGATGCCCTCTGCAGCAGTAATATATCTTATTCTGTAGATATTTCATAATTTATTATCTATTGGTTTGCCTGTCAGTGGTAACTCATATTTTTTCTTACACGCAGTTCAAAGCCCTGGAGATCCCACAGCCTGTTGACACACAGACGAGTGCCATCAATGCACAGGAGGCTGAGGCTGTAAGTGCTGACCTTAAACAGATCTATTCATTTCCTGAATTTTTACTTTAACCAAAGAGAATAAAATAAATGGTTGAATACGTCAAACCACATGGCAGTCGTATTATATTTATGCTGTGTGTCAGAATGAGAAATACTTATACAATTGGGTTTAATTATATGGTTGTTCCAGCCAAAAATACAGACATTTTGCAGCAACTGTAAATGTTCATAAATTCTTCAAAGAGCCCAGCTGATTTCAGTTTTCTTTGCAGATATGCGCACATATGGAAACTAACAGTATAAACAATGCAGAAAATATGTATATATATAAATATATATATGTGTGTATATGTGTGCATTTATTATAGGTTTTATGGTTAAACTGTAAAATGTTGAGTCTCAATTGCATTTCTTTCTCATAAGAGTTTGATAATGATTTCTTAGGTATCATTGACATTTTTTAAATATTTATCATCAATATCAAAGATTTTCCCCAATATCGATATTTTCATCATCTCCCAAAAATGCATATCAGTCGGGCTCTAGTCCAAAGCAAGCAATTTACCAAACACTAAAAGACACTGAAATTTCAGAAGACAATACACTAGATAGACAGAAATCATACTACTGAAAAAAGTGATGTGAACTGCTGCTGTTGTTGTTTTTCATACCTAATTATTTCACCTTTCTCTAACAGAGCAAAAGTGCCATTGCCTATGTGGAGGGATCGAAGGCCCGCATCACTCAGTATGAGCAAGAGGTGAGATTGTAAAAGCATTAGTTGATCAATTAGTTCATTAAGACTTTAAGGAAATGTACATGAAAGAACACACTGGTCTTTGATTCTCATCCTGTTCTTTTCCCTGTATTTTCAGTTGAATAAGTTTAAGAACATGATCCCCTTCGATCAGATGACCATTGAGGACCTCAATGACACCTTCCCTGAGACAAAGTTGGACAAGGCTAAATATCCCTACTGGCCCCACAAGCCCATTGCTGAACTGTAATCCAATTACTGGACCCTCTCCTCTCAATAAAGTTTATGTATTTTAAAGAGGAACGTTTGACTTCATTATTTTATTAAAAAATGTGAACAGAATAGGTAGTGCCCACAAGGGGGTGGTGTTGCAGTAGTTTTGCTTTGAAGGGTAAACTTTGAAGGGTAATCCTAAACTTTTAAAATAACTTTATATTTCTACAGTTTTGACACACATGGATTATTATCACGCTTCCTGGTTAATCTTTAACCACTGTTAATGTGTTACTGTGGACATTCACTAGTCTCTTCCAGATTAAATTAGCTGCAGTTTACAGATGCAGTTGAGAACAGAGATGGAGAATAAGAGTTAACGTGATTATCTGTAACTACTGATAAATCATCAATCACACGTTCACACCATAGACTGTATGGTTCACACACGAAATGTTTGTTCGCCTGCACCTATAGGCTCCTATAGAAAGTCAATCATTTCTCTTAACCAATCACGTCCCCCCTCGACTATTTATTTACATGAAGAGGGCGGGATATCAGCCCCCCCGTCTCCAGACTCGCTGCTTTGATTGGCCATGCCCAGCAGCGTCTCGGGCGCTGATTGGTTTAAATCCTTGTGGAAAAAAAAAAGCAGGCGGGTCTTCCTGAGAGACGAGTCCCGTTGTATGTTATCTGACAGTCGCTGACGATTGACGAGTCCATCAGCTCAGGTAAACGTCTCTTCTTATAAATAACACGTTTATAATTGAATTGAATACCCTCATATTTCCGGTGTCGTGTGTTGGAGCTCACAGCCCGGAGCTCTGCGGAGGTTTCCCCCGCGGGGCTTGTGATTAAAGCGGCGTAGAAAGCAGGGGCTGTCCGCTCCGTGTGTGTGTCAATAACCGTAGAGGAGCTCAGTGCTCTTGCGGAGGTCAAACACAGAAAACAAGAACTCATCAGAACAGTTCTTTGTCGAGTCATTTGAGATGTGTTGTTGTTGTTGTTTTCACTCCATAAGTCTGATGGTCAGCGCAGGAAACCGCCATTCACCGCCTCGACAGCTAGCTAACATCAGCGGCAGCGTTAGCCGGCAGCTGAGGTTGCGTTATGGATGAGATCGTCAGCCAGGCAGTCTGTCCTGTGCTGTGGGAAGATGGTTCACGTTGAACCACGAGAAATGAACCAAAGGACTCATATTAATATCACCAGAAACCTTCCGTATTCCTCTAAGTGGAGGCTTCACATCCCTCTGTGTTACCAGTTGTTTATGTTAGTCAATCACACAAATGTTTCATGTTAAGTGGATTTGATTCACTCTATTTCGTCACAAGTTGTACGTGTATTTTGTTGGTACTGTATGTTTACAACACAAACAAACAAACCTGCCAGGGGACGTCAGTAAGGTAACACCTCTGGCTGCAAAACATGCAAAACTATTTTGGCTGGAGTGAAACACGAGCTGATTTCCCCTTGGCCAGTGCCCTGCTGCTGTTTCCACCAGGGCTTATAATATTCTCTTTATTTCCTTCTGAAAGTCAGTTTGCTCAAACCTAAAGAGCTGTCTCCCTAAAAGTGTCACGTGAAGTGAAAGGCAATAGCTTTGCATGAATTCATGGGTCAAAGGTTGTTTCTCTGCAGTCGTCTTTTAAGTCGGCGTGAACATGATACATACAACCGAACAGAATCTTGATATATTCAAACCTTCATGTAAAACTGTGCCGTTGTTTCCAAAATAGTTTGGCCTAGTAACCCCACAGACTTGTAATTGTTATTTTGAATGTCATGATCTAGGTGAAAACAGACGTGTCTGTGTTAGTAGTCAGGCCAGGTCTGCCCCTGGACAGTGGAGTCAACACTGGCTTGATTGTTAGTAGAGAACAATGGGAGCAGGCCTGCACCGAGGGAGGCACTGCTCCAAGGCTAGATGTTGGCTACTGTCTCATCTCCAGAGGGACGGACAGGCCAGTGCTGTTCTTAAAAAGTGTTATTACCACACACAAGGCTGAGAGAGGTGATCTGAGGAAAAGTGTGGAACTTGTGGTACCACGTTTTGACACATGATTGTGGACTATGATAACAACAAGACTGCTTGACATACTATATGCCTACTCACAAATTCTACCATTACTGACAATAACTCATTAATTCATTTGTCATTGCTGCTCCCTTCATCTCTATCAGACATTTTCTTATGTATAAATACTTCAAACATTGACACGCTTCTCCATTATGTTACAAACTGGTCGAATCAATTTTTTAAATACTGTTACTCCGTTGAAGTTTACAGTTACACAGGGCAGCTATTGCACTTCTGCAGGAGAGGGATCACTCAAATGTGGCTCTCTCTAATAAATATAACTACAATAACTGTCACATCCGCATATCCACAAGGGACAATCAATATTTGGCGGTTTTCAGAAGAGAAAATGACTTGCAAATGATGGCTGGTTAATTTGTCAAATATGTTGCTGGTGTTGATTTGCTATGCTCACAAAGATTGGCATATGAACACAAATTTACATCAATTGAGAACTGAATAATAATGATGTTTAAACATTTATTTCACATTTTCTGGAAATAATGTATGCTTAATACTTCATTTAATGTATTAAAATGTTATAAATAAAGATTCACTTGGCAAAATCAATGCCAAAGATTTTCTTTTGCTACATTGTGGTCCTGAAACAGCGTGTCCCTTAGGGTTATTTCATGTAACATGACACTCAACCCTCAGCTTCTCAATGATTGAATTTCATCCATACAGCAGTTCAACCACTCTCTCCAGTTCACTGACGTTAAGCAGGAAATACAGTACATTAGGCCAAAGATGCAGCTGATGTCAGTCTGTGTTGTTTCTTTAAATACAGTCTGGACAATATTATGACAATATTACTAAATCATTGTCAGATATGTTTTGCAAATTGTAATGGTCAACACGATCTACAAACACAGTGGTTGTTATTTGTCACCAAACCAAAGATTACTGCCAAAACAATCAGTAGATTGATTAGTCAACAGATAAATAATTTAGAAGTATTTGGATCATCATGCATAAATATTGTTATCATCAAACATTCTCAGGTTCCTGCTTCTTTTACAAGCTAATTTGCTGTGTCTCTGTGTTTTATATCATTGTAAACTGGATATCTTCAGTTAAATTCAGGTAAAACAAGACATTTGATATTCTTCAGACTTCACCAAGGACTCTTTAAAGTTGTAATTGACACAGTTCTTTTTAATTAACTTTATACATGAATTGAATAAATGATATCTGTCAAATTAAATGAAAATAATCACTGTGATTAATATGGTTAATTATTAAGAAATTGGAAGTAGATAATTATTTTGCAACTAAAGTGAAATGATGAATTCATGATCAACGTAGTTCATTTGCTTTGAGTCAATAATGTATCACTTAATCAATTAATTTCCAAATCATTTCAGCTCAATTAAGTCCAGTCAGATTATGAAAATAAGAATATAGAAATCATAATAATAATTATAACAATAATAAACACTTTGGTGTAATAAGCAGATGTCAAGAATATGAATAAGAGTGGGAATAATCTTAACTGAGGCCAGTTACAATGTATTGTCATATTGACTTACAATGAGATATTGTTATTATTCTCAGTATTTTCCTCATCATGTGTCAGTATTGATATATGTACATTCAATTATATTTCCAGGGCACAGAGCAAGAGGTTATTTATAGTAACTATTTATAGTCCATCCAATCAGCCATGAGATATTTGGTTTTTCATACAGCTCTTGCTTGTGCAGTGGAACTACTTTGTATTCCCCCCACCAAACACAGTCCATGTTGTCAGGCAGCTTTTTTTCCCTCTAGCCTCACTATAGTTGTCAAAGCGAGCTAAGCTAGCATAGCTGTTTATCTGACCATAGACAGTCAATGGAGCTTGGTATCCTGGCTGCAGCTCACACGTCTGTGTCAGCTGAATCAGTGTGCACAGGCAGATGTGAGCTGGGAGGTGGTATGCAGCCGGCCTGGATGAACTTTAGGAATAACTGCTTCGGTGCAGTACTTTGGTGGTCATGCAGCATCAGAGGATTCTGGTTATACTGGGCTGCTCCCAGTAAAACTTACATGGTTATATGGTTGTAAAATAGGTTAAATGTTATACTATTTTGTTGTAGGGACAGTGTTTAGAGAAATGGTTTAAGAGAAGGATTATGAAATGTGTTGTGTGGTAAACTACACAGTGCATGCTTCTTCAAAAAAACGAAATGTTTTGGTCTTCTACAGCTTTCCATGCAAAATCATCACAGTGTATGTGGGTAAAAACAGCAACTACACATAACAACATAAACAAAAACGAACTGACATGGTCAGGGACTTGCCTTTTCCAGTTTGATATATTTTCAACATATTGGGTATCCTTAAATTGTCCATCTTAATCCCCAGTCAAAGCATCACCAATTAATGGGGACAGTCAGAAGATCATCCCACAGGGAGGTGTTAGAGTGGGATGGATGAAAGAGGGGAAGGGGTGACCATCTGGACGGGTTTTTATCTGTTGTCTAGAGAGCTGCTGTGTTTGGGATGGATTCAAAAGCTTGAACCAGTTTCCTTGGCAGAAGTGATGAAAAAGTATTATCATGGAATTGGTCAAATGTCCTGATACACACACTGAAATAATTTCTTATGTCGAATCATTGTTATTGTTAGTGTATTATTATAATTCTTCTCTTTTTATTTTTGGTTTTTATTGATAAAAAAAAGTAATCCACACTTCATGCTCTATCTTGGAGATTCGTGCTTGCTATGATAGATGCTGGAGTGTATTTACCACGAGTGTGGTGCTCAAACATGTTTTTAACAACTGTTAGAAATTCAAAAGGGTGATACCATTTACCATTGCTGACTGTGAAAACAGTTGCATTCCGTTCCGGCAGTGTGCTGCAGCAGCATGCAATAAACTGATATGATTCTACTGATTCCTATCGTCAGTCATCAGTTCAAGTTTTAGGAGAGATTAAGTGCAGATAGTAAAGAAAGCAAACACTTGAGTCAGGGACTTTCAAACCTTCTGCCTTAAGGTGAGGGCCTTGATAGGCAGATGTTGGACAGCAGCCACACACAAACTCTGCTGAGTCCTGGTTGAGACGTGAGACAGTGTTTAATAATGTGGAGTTCCTAAGGAAGGCGACATCTTTCGGCAGATGCAGCTTAAAAGTCAGGAAAAAAGATTTCTATATGTTTGTGTTTGTGCATTAGTGAAATTAGGAAGGTTTTCAAATGTAAGACGCTCTTTTACGGCTGACGCTTTTAGTTGTTATAGTAGGTGAAGCCCAGATGTTGTTGTAAATAAACATTTACTATACAAGCGTCCTGAACGTCAGGCCACTAATACTGAACAGCCATGATTGATTATATTATTTATTTACACCTGTGCTTTCCCTGCTGAGTGTGCATATCTGTCTGTGTTTCCAGTGGCCGTTGATGGACCATCCCTATGAAGAAACAGGGTTACAATGGGACAGAGTACCTCGGAACAAGAGGTCCAAGGCGACACCCCAGAGGTTGGTTTGTTCTCTGTTTCCATTTGCATCATGGTAAAACACATAAGGTACACCTAAATAAAGTGAAGTAAAGAACAGTAAATGTAGTTCATGACTTTAACTGGGAAAGAGTTCTGTGAATAAAAAAACAAAAGGAGACACTTAATTTAATATGATAGCCTAAAAATAGAGATCCACTCTATTTTTTTTTCTGATGTGACATAGCATATAATTTCCTACATGACAATGTCCTCATATGATTAGCAGCATGTGAATCATTGTTTTTGAAATGCAGAGTGTGGTTCTGATTGTTCCTTTTTTTATATTGTGCAGACCATCTGTTAATTTCTGTGTGCACACGTGCTGCCTGCACTCACCATGCCAGCCCCACTGTCAATATCCCTAGTGTCCATTTTAGGCCTTTTACTGCCAAATAACCCTCAGCTACTCACACGCAAATCAATAACCTCTGATAACAGACATGCAATCCCATTGGCTGCTCAGCCAGAACACTAAAAACCTATTACTCCTGCTCTGACAATACTGCGTCTGATGGCTATATACTGTAGGTAGTAAAGAACACACACACACACACACACACACACACACACACACACACTAAAACAAACAAGCTTATCTTGACCACAGGATCTTTACATCCCCTGCATGAACAGTGTTGTTTTTCTCTAATCTTCCTCTGTTTATCAGCTTGTGCTTTAGAAGAGACAGTGTACCAAACTATGTGCTCCCTGATCCTGAACATGTGTATTTCTTTCTTTCTTTCTTTCTTTCTTTCTTTCTTCCTTTCTTTGGTGTATAGCTGCATACTCTGCACAAGTCCAGCTGTCTCAACAGCTTAAGTTATAAGTCAAGGGAGTTGTTTGGCTTTTTGGCCTTTCCTGGACGCCAGACCAGACTAGCTTGAAGTCTTTTTTGCCAGAGCATCGTCTCTTTTTTCAGGCCCAGTTTGCATGTGCAATCATTAAGACTTAATTATTTTCAGCATCATCTTTATTCTTAGGATAAGTTGCAGCAAAGTTAACTTGACCCCCGAAGCTAAGACTCATTCCATTGACACATTGTGTTCGGTAAATATCAGGCAACATTTCTCTCACGTGCACCTTTTACTTGCCTTTTCAGATTTACAGCTGGAATCCTGACTCTGTGTTAAACTCTTTCTAATCTTGAGCAAAGTACAAATCAAAGCCTGAGAAACATACAGTAGTTGGCTGACAAATGTAAGGGCCTGAATGTGGGGAAGGTCAGAAAATTTACTACATCTTTATTTCCTTCTCTTCTTGCTTCACGAGCACTGATAGCGATACAGTTATGCCTCCAGGGCAAAGCCCTTATTCCCACATTCCATTACACTCCAGTGAAATTGAAGCCTTCAGGCCAAGCCTTACGCAGCATTTCAGTTTGAATATACTGTAAGAGGTCGCAGCCATCGAGTAAGCTTTGAAGTACTTAGCATGCTAGCTGCAGGAGTTGTTCTCTCTCAGATTAAAAACAGGTCTCTTTATTCCTCTGTTACATTAGGACGGGTTTAATGACATCAAGCCATTGGTGGAGGAGGAACTACAGACGAGCATGGTGAGTGTGCAATGAGCCTTCATTGAGAAAATATCTTTTCAGTTTCCTTCTGCTGCTGTTGAGTCATTCTACCAGGAAATGTCACCACCACATTTTTCACCATAGCGCAAGGTAGAAAATTAGAAAATACATTTTGTTCACCGAGTAAAAGCCGGCAGGCAAAATAATGATTTAAAACATTCAATAGGTATAGTCCTGCAGCCAGTACAGGCCATTACATTTTGTTTTTCATGCACCCTTTGACCCTTTACACTCATCAGTTCACCTCCTTCTTTCTTCTTTTCTCATCAGATGGTGGGGATGGTGATTGGTGCAGGCATCGCCATTGTTCTCATCGCCATCCTCATCTTCTTCATCCTGCGGAGGATCCAGCTGCGGAGTCAGTGACTGCTAAGAAACATTTTTCAACATATGCTTGGAACATGTAATGATAATCATAAAAAACGGGAACCTGCTTATTTGTCATATTTATATTCATTTATAGATCGGGAAGCTCAGGAGGCTCCAAAATACCGCTTCCGCAAGAGGGACAAAGTCATGTTCTACGGGCGAAAGATGTTGCGTAAAGTGAGTGTTTATTGACACAAAAGATGGTATGCTGAGAGTAATTATGGGCTGGCTCAGACTCACAGGGAGTCATGTGTCATATCTACTTTTCAAGGATAGTGCGTAAGGCTACATTTACTATTGGAGTAATATTTAAACCAGTGTGTTTCCCAACAGGTCTCCCAGTCTACCTCTTCCCTGGTGGGTACATCCTCTTCCTCTCGGCCGCGCCTCAAGAAGAAGCAGAAGATGCTCAATATTGCCAAAAAGTAAATCAAAATTCTCCTTTTCACCAGTCTTCATTACTCTCCTAACCATAATAAGTGGTGAGCACTCTGTCCCTTGTCGTCATATATAACTGTCTCTGTGACTGTCACTTGTGCAGGATCCTGCGCTTTAAGAAGGAGGTGCCCATCCTTCAGGCTAAGGAGCCCCCTCCATCCGTGCTGGAGGCAGACCTTACAGAATTTGATGTGGCCAACTCCCACCTCCCTTCCGAGGTGCTCTACATGCTCAAAAATGTCCGGTAGGTTCATTCTCTGTCAGATGTTTGTGTAATGTGTTATCGTGTACAGTAGCCTACATCCTTTAGGGCATCTGTGGCTCAGGAGGTAGAGAGGGTCGGTGAGGGTCGGTGGTTCAATCTCTGACTCTTTCAATCTGTATTCCAAAGTGTCCTTGTGCAAGAAACTGATCCCCAAATTTCATTGCCAACATTGTATGAGTAATGTGATAATAAAATACTGTATGAATAGGCGTGTGAATGTGTGAATGTAACTTGTACTTAAAAGCACTTGAGTGGTCGATAAGACTGGAAAAGAGCTATATGAACACAATTCATTCACAGTGTATTTACAGTGTATAGATCAGTGCTCAAAAGGCCTAGGTACACTGTATGTCCGTACATTGATAAGTCGATATGCATGAGTAATAAAACTTTGCATTGCTTCTACACACATACCTTTTAGAGATGTGCTTCCTCTGAGAAGCTGTACTTATACACTGATCTTAAAATGTTCTTTTGATTATTGAAGATTGAAACCCATAGAGGTTAGCTGTGCAGTGCTGACAAACCAAGTGTGTACAGTGCTGTTGTGTGTTCACCTAACCACCCTAACCTCTCCTCTCTTGACCTTCACTGCAGTGTGCTGGGTCACTTTGAGAAGCCCCTCTTCCTGGAGCTGTGTAAACACATGGTGTTCCTGCAATTCCAACAAGGGGAGTACGTTTTCAGGCCAGGCCAGCCTGACAGCAGCATCTACGTGGTGCAGGACGGAAAACTAGAATTGTGCCTTACTGGAGCGGTACGTCATGCATTGAGAATTTAACAATTATTTTTGTATTTTAGGGTTATATGGTCTAGTATGTGTTATAACACATACACACATACTAAACTTAATGCTCACAAATCCACAAACGGCTTTACTGCGGGAATTCAGGCTTTACCAACTCATTAACGTCTATTAACATCTGACTCAGATAATCTCATTACATGGCTGTTAGCAAAAATTGCTCTTATAATGACAAAGAAGTTTGGTACAGCCAGTTTCATTGAGACTTTGAAGTTTTATTGAGACTCAGACAAGTCTCACAGAGGATGGTTGTTCTCCCAGAGTTTTCAGTTCAAACTTTATCTGTAAAGCTGAGTATAGCTGCTCAAATTCTAAGAAAAACATCTGACCACAAGACAGTTTCTGTCGCTTGATATGTGCGCTGCTTATTTCTGTCCTGTAGGATGGCAAAGAGAATGTGGTGAAGGAGGTTTTCCCAGGAGACAGCGTCCACAGCCTCCTCAGCATCCTGGATGTCATCACAGTACGTTACACACACTTCTTTCTACACAGAAGATGATGCTGCATCAAACCTGTGTGCATGTTTCCCCCATAGACAGCCCATATATACTGTATATTATTCATACACCTTGAGAAATGAGGTGTGGATGCTACAAATGTGTTGTTACTCATGTCATTTACCATTACCAGCTGACTCACCAAATCTTCTCTGCTGTCATACACATGAGTCATAAATCATGTTAGATTTGGACAAGTTAGATTTCAGTGATTCAGTGTGAAATGAGGAGGGTGTAATGAAGAATGAATAATGAATAATTTAAAAAATGTTCTCCATGAAATGAAATTTGAATGACAAATTTTGAGTCTTAAAGTCTAAATGGTCAAAATGTTTTATAAATATCAAATGTGTGGTATGTTTGTGTGCAGGGCCACCAGAAGCCTTACAAAACGGTGTCAGCACGGGTCGCAGAGGTTTCCACTGTTCTCCGTTTACCTGTAGAGGCCTTCCTCTCTATATTTGAGAAGTACCCTGAGAGCCTCGTGCGAGTAGTACAGGTGAGTTGTGTGTGTGCAATATTTTTGTTTTTCTTTCTATCTATCTGAACTGATTAAAGACAATAAGCTTGATTTGAAATGTAAAATGACTTTTCTTCTGTTGCGTCTGTTCAGATTATCATGGTTCGTCTCCAAAGAGTAACAGTCCTAGCACTGCACAACTATCTGGGACTCACCAATGAGCTCTTCAGCCATGTAAGCTTAGCACGCAGAGACATGCACACACACACACACACACACACACACACACACACACACACACACACGGTCCGGTGCAAACCTCTGTGTGTCATGTAGTCTAGTATTTATCAGACGTCTGCACCATTAGCCCAGTTCACATATAAAGAACTGTTCTGAACTTGGTCATACACAAACTATGTTCCTTACACTAATCACATTACTCACCGCTCGCACTCATTTTATAGGAAATGCATCCCTCACGTCTGCCACCTCCATCACCCCACCCAACTCGCACCAGTCCCATCCGCCATGGCAAGCGCTTTGGCAGCCTGACAGTGCCTGAGGAGCAAAGAGAAGCTGCCATTAAGGGAGAAGCTGCAGGTCAGGAAAAAAACCCTGAAAAACTCTAAATCAATGAAATGCCCCTTAAGTAATTCTGAATCAACTGTTGGGTGTCTCTATACAGTTGAAGGTCTTGACTAATTATCTTATGATTTGGCGCTTAAAATTGAACTGAATTGAATACCTTTTATTTTATTTCATAAATTTTTTGCCATGGATTTTTGTGAAGCACTAACCTTGTTTAGACAGTAGTTTTAAGTTTGTTGCTTGCTAAATCCCTCATATTGTATTTATTTACAGGAGAACAAGGAAAGGATGGAGCAACAGTGCCAACTCTTAGTAGGACCATCTCCATGCCCGTGGACATCGCTGGTGAGTGATCTTAACAAGGATTAAGTTTCCTTAATGCTATTTACCAATTATGATTAAAGCATGCTAGCTGAATGTTGTCTGTGCAGGTATGCAGAAAAGTCTGAGGTCAGACTTCGACATGGCGTATGAAAGGGGGCGGATCTCAGTCTCTGCAGAGGATGGCAACACTCCTCCCACCTTTACTCGGGTCAGTAATCTGCATTTTATTGACTCCCTTAAGCTGATTTCAGACATAACCTGCGGTAAAATACGGAAAATTGACGACATAGTTTACCCAGAGTTTACCTTTAACACATGCGCAACGCATCAAAGACGCATTCACAACAGTGACAGATTCTTTGCATTATTCAGGCGAGAGGTGGAGCAACTGGGTGCAGCAGGCAGAGACAGGAAGTGACGTGTTGACTATGCTGCCAAGATCACATTATCTTCTTGACAACACACAGACACTGGTGTCAGCTTGTATCACCACAAATTATCCTGACATCTTCGCCTGTGTTTTCTATGTATGTCACCGTTTTTTTTACCAGAATATATTTGATTTCTCTAGGTTTATTTGTTTTTATGTCTGTCGTGCGTTAAAATCTACCCACCCACTCGCTCTCAGTTAATCCAGCGGGGGATCCCCTGCTGTGTTCTCACCTCAAATCCTCCTGAATCTCTACACACAATATACTAGGGGGCCAGGTGAAGAAAGTCCACAGAAACTGTGGAGCATCTCACTCAGACATTTGTGTTCACACATGCACCTCCTGCGGAGAAAATACAGAGGGGCCGCAGAGTTCAGTGTATTTCTGAAAGCAGCTATACATAGATGTGACAATATCAGCAGTGACAGCAATTGTTACATAGATTCAATGTTTTCCACAGAGCATAAGCAACAACAAAGTAATCCAGTATATAAAGTACCTTATGAAAAATTTGATATTCATTGTTTAGTATCTCAAAAACAACAGCTACGTATTAGATACTATCTGACCCTTCGTGAGACTGACAGCAAAAAATCTTGGTTGATTGTCTCATCATGACAATTCGTCTTATTCAGAGGCAGATGTCCTGTTTTACAATAACACTATTTTCTTTTATATATAAATGTATGTTTTTTTACAGTCTGGGTCCCAGGACCAGCGGGAGAGGAAGGTGACAGTAGATGAAGTTCCGTCAGGGATCTACCTGTATCCAGAAGAAGACCAGGGAGTGGACAATATTTTCACACCTTTAACCAGTCGATCCAGTGCTGCTCTGTTTGAGGAAGCTCAGAAAGAGGTCCTCAAACTCATGAGGATTGAGGTTTGTTAAATTAGGTTTTCTCTCAAACTGTGTTTTCTGTTTGTGTGTAGTGGTGTGAACTGACTCTGTGACAAAGTCTTAAACCTGAAACAAAAAAAAGAAAGAAAATAAAGACTTAAAAGTAGTGTTTACATCAGACAAAGGTATATCAATTAAAGTCATTTACGGGACTACACAGTCAGTTTTCTTTAAAACAACGTGGACATGGAGCCCGACAGTTAATCACCATATCTAAATGTACAGTGTGCTGATGCCTGTTTAGATAGTGTTGCTTTTAACCATCACTCGTGTTGGCTGTGATGAATTCTATTGGGACAAATGTTTTTACCATACCTTTTTTCATATTATCGTCTTTTCAATCAGGGTCAAAATGTGCGGTTAGTGCAGTGTTCTCCCAGCTACACTGCAGTATAAACTGTACTGACCAAATTCTCGTGGATTAAGAAATAATAACAGGCTCATCACGTTATTCTTTCTTTGCATGAATGAACACATTGTCACAAATCTCCCTGGAGCATCTGTTAAGCGATTATGATGTGGAAAGGAGGTCATTCAGCGGGTCTTCTCTACAGGAGCTGGGCTCAGTGTGTAAATTATAAGGGGGAAAGGGCTGCAGTGTCGCGTCACAGTGTCTCACAGGCTGAGACATGAGTTACACCTATGTGTTTGGTAATATATAAGACAAACAAAATTATAGGACATGCATGGTAATTAATCTCACAATAATACTTTAAAATCCAGACACATGACCGCAAACCTGAGTTAATTTCAACTTGATACCACTGTGGTGAAAAATGACAATCATTCAAGTGGGATCATGTTGTAAACCCTTGGTTTGTGCCTCTAGAGGGAATTTCTTCATGTAATATTTCAAAACATCTTGTCGTAACGAGAGCAAACCATGCTTGTTGAAATAAGTGTTGCAGAATTGTCTTCATGCAAATGCAAAGAAAGAAGCATGGAAACCTTTCCCTCACTTTGTTTCTCCACTGTGTCTGTAACCTCTTAACTCTTACCTCTGTCTTTTCAGGACCCATCTTTGTTAAATGGGAGAGTGACTCTGCACCATGCAAAAGCTGGAGCTGTCTTAGCCAGACAGGGAGACCAGGTACTTAACACACAGGACCCATACGACCCCTTGAATACTGCCCCCTTTTAGCTGTACTTTGCCTTACAACGGGAGATCAGATATGGATATTTTGTTTTTAGATTTATTTTTTGTTTCTGCAATTTTTAAAAAAAGTTTCTGCAAAAAAATATGTATTTCATTACATACATTCTTAATAGTAAAAACAGAGCAAGCATTCATGTTACTGCCTCTTGAAGGGTTGTATAGCATAGTTGTAGCAGTGAGATATGAATAAAATGTGGTACGTATAGTAATTCAATCACTTTACCAAAAACTGAATTGCCAGAATATGAAACAAAGTTGTTCTTATCCTTCTCTGTGTTTGCTTTCTCTCTTTCTTCCCCTATTTGCTGCTCAAGGACGTGAGTCTGCACTTTGTCCTGTCAGGCTGTCTGCATGTCTACCAGCGGATGATCAACAAGCAGGAAGCTGTCTGCTTGTTTGTGACCCACCCAGGGGAGATGGTGGGCCAACTGGCCGTGCTCACCGGAGAACCCCTCATCTTCACCATCAAGGCTGTCAGAGACTGCACTTACCTCAAGATTTCAAAATCGGATTTCTACGAGTAAGACGATCATCTTTAATGTGACAAAATATATACAAATATTTATATATAATTAGGCATGTAACCAAGTTTAATATCATATATAAGCTGTTATTAAGACAATGGTATCCCATGTCCTACAATTCAAATGCGCATTCCCCCAAAGTCTTTCTGCTTTCTGTACGGTCTCATTAATTGTAGTTTTGCAATAAAACATCTGCTGGTTTACAATGTAAGTATTACATCTCCAGTGTTACTCATGTCTGTGCCTGTGCTGTGTGTTGCCACCTGCAGGATCATGAGGGAACAGCCCAGCGTTGTGCTGAGTGCAGCCCACACAGTCGCCATTCGCATGTCTCCTTTTGTCAGGCAGATGGACTTTGCCATTGACTGGATGGCTGTGGAGGCTGGCAGAGCCCTCTACAGGTACTCGACTAAGATTTTTCTTTTTTTTTTTGGAGAAAAATATAAGGACTCATTTTGCCTCTTTGCACACACTATATTCACCTCAACATTACAGTATTGTTTATTTACACATTTTTATTATTGACTATTAATATGTAAATGTCACTGTGATGCCTGTGTTCACAGACAGGACGACCGATCAGACTGTACCTACATCGTTCTCAATGGACGTCTGCGTTCAGTCATCCGCAAGGCAAATGGCAAGAAAGAACTAGTTGGGGAATACGGCAGAGGAGACCTCATTGGAGTGGTGAGAACAAGACTGTTTAAATCTCAGGTGCTGTTTTCAGACATGAACTCAAGAAAATGTCTTGACGGGTGGGTCTGATTCAGACGTGCTTAAGACAACAGGACAATGTCCAGAGCAATCAGGTGAGGCGTGGCATTTGGTTAGAGCATGAAGGAGGCAGGACATGACATATAAATTCTGCTGTTAAAATCTTGTAGAACTCTCTATGTAACATTTAGGTGTTAGCATTCTATTGGGTAGTCTAAATATTCATTCCTAAACCACATTGTGTCCTTATGTCTTCCTACTGGTGAAATACACAGAAGAGTTGAAGTTGGTGAGAATTGAAGTTGGTGAGAGTTGAAGTTGGTGCCTCTCTGTCTGGGGCATCTGAGTTAGACATGAAAGTCTCTAAGCGTAAACACAACAATGCACTGATGGTTGGTCCTTTCTCTATAACCTGACCTTGGGTACTGCCTAGAGAGAGAAGGGAGTATCTGTGGAATTATACAGGCACTCTTCTGTTAATGGTGTACAGATATAATGTAATATACACTATATATGCATAATGCGGTATATAGTGGCATATACAGTAATGTGTAAGGATAGTCAAAAATTATTAATTGTGACCTTTAGCATCAGAGCATCGTGGGCCTTTGCTGCAGGTTTTGTTTCTCATTGGTCATAATGCAATATGAGGTTTGGACAGATTTGTTAAGTTGTCATTTTAATACTAAATTGGTTGAATTGATAATTTATTTTATATTTTAATAACTTTGATTTTGTGATATTGATAATAAGTTAATCTTTCTGCTATCATGTTCTTCTTTATACTTCAGGTGGAGGCGTTGACCAGGCAGCCAAGAGCCACCACTGTCCATGCTGTGAGAGACACGGAGCTGGTCAAACTGCCAGAGGGAACGCTGAACAACATCAAAAGACGATATCCACAGGTTTGCGACTTCAATGGTGAAAACTTGTCGCCTGGTTGAGGTTTTGTGTACTGATGAAATTAAACTGATGCTTGTTGTCTGTGTTGTAGGTCGTGACAAGGTTGATCCACTTACTAGGCCAGAAGATCCTGGGGAACCTGCAGCAGGGCCGCGGGCCATTCTCAGGTGAGCAGAGATTTAAATTTCAACCTCAGATTTCTGTCAGTGGTTTTTCAGTAAGGTGCAGTATGACATCAGTGTAGGTCTGAAAGGATCACAAAGCGAAGGGAATGAGGTGTGACACCGGGAGCACAGTGGCTATTTGAAAGTGTTACATGCAGACCGTAGGCTATTTGAAAGGTAAAGAAAGTTAATGACCCAAAGTTAAATATTCATGTTGCTTAAAGACGTGTTGCTGCTATGATCTTAATTTGCACAGTAACAACCCCACGTCTTTGTCTGTCCGGCCTTATGCATTTGTCACATACTGTACACACTTTCACACACTGTGTTTGTGCCTTCCAGGCTCAGCTCTGAGTCTGCCCAGTATGACAACTAGTGCAGATGTAACCAACCCTGCCAGCAACCTCTCCACTGTGGCTGTGCTGCCTGTGTGTGATGAGGTGCCCATTAATGCGTTCAACCTGGAGCTCAGCCATGCCCTCAGTGCCATTGGTGGGTATTTATCTGTATGTGTAAAACTACTAGTAGAGGATGCATTAGTGTGTCTTTTACATTATTAACTGTTTCTTGTATATCCACATTTTGCACTGCCTCTGTTGGACATTTTCAGGGCCCACTCTGCTGTTAACTAGTGAAATTATCAGAGAACGTTTGGGAGCTTCTGCTTTGGACAGGTCAGTGTGACAATCACTCCTATCCTCTCAATTCTCAGACTCATTAACTACTATCATAAAAGTGTCCCAAGTTTATTTTTATTGATCATTATCATTTCCACTCATTCTGTCGTTTTCCAATTTCCTTCTAAGTCATTGTCAGTGTATGTTGTGGTGAATTAAAAGGCATTTTCTCTGTCCTTGTCTCTAATGTCCTCTCTGTCCATCAGTATCCACGAGTACCGTCTTTCCGGCTGGCTGGCCCAGCAGGAGGACATCAATCGGATCGTCCTGTACCAGACTGACAGCAGCATGACCCCGTGGACGCAGCGCTGCATCCGCCAGGCTGACTGTATCCTCATTGTTGGCCTGGGGGACCAGGAACCTGCCCTAGGACAGGTGTGTTTGTGTGTCATAGCAATGGGGAAATACAATACCAGTACAATACTTTCACTGTCTTCATCTCTCTACCTATTCATCTTTTGTCTGTCAGTTGGAGCAGATGCTGGAGAACACAGCAGTCCGTGCTCTGAAGCAGCTGATCCTGCTGCACAAAGAGGACGGCCCGGGCCCCTCGAGGACGGTGGAGTGGCTCAACATGCGAAGCTGGTGCTCTGGGCATCTTCACCTCAAGTGTCCTCGTAGGGTCTTCTCCAGACGCAGCCCCAGCAAACTGGTATCAAACCAAACTGCACTGTCATGTGTAGCTGTTTTTTTTAACAAATTTATAATAAGAATATACTAAATATATAGTGTGGTATGCTGTGCTAAACTTGCTAGACTGAGGTGACCTAGTGGCCAATAAAAGTGATTATCCACTCCTTTGTAACTGTAAACTAAGAATGCAGACATGCAAGGAATGTCTGGTAAATCAATGGAAATTCAACTTGTACAAGAACGCTTGTGTTTATTAGTGTTAACAGAAAGTTAAAGAGTTTTATGTGCATAATGTTTGTGCAGAGGGACGTATACGAGAAGGTGTTTGAGAAAACGGCAGACAGGCACAGTGATTTCTCTCGGCTGGCCCGAGTCCTGACTGGAAACAGCATCGCCCTGGTGCTGGGAGGAGGTGGAGCCAGGTGAGAACTGTTTACCACTAGTTGCCATAGAGACATGTAGAGGGCACGTTGTGTTTTGAGTTCAGTGTTTAAAAATATCTTGATAGCAATGCTGATGAAACATCTAATGTGAATATTAATGTCTCAGCAGCCCTGAGATCCCCTTCAGTTTTCCATTATGAACATTAATACAGATTTCTCGTGTGTTAAAAACATCTGTCTTATCACTCACATTTACAAAGTAGAGCTGCAATACAAAAACATTTAAGGAATTGATGAGTAAGAACATTAAGTAAATTTGTTTAACCTCTGCGTATGTACCATGCAAAGTTTGTGTAACTACCCTGGTATCTGATATGTTTGTTTTTCCCCGTGCAGAGGCTGCTCTCACGTTGGTGTTATCAAAGCTATGGAGGAAGCAGGGATTCCTATTGACATAGTGGGTGGGACCTCCATTGGCTCATTCATTGGTGCACTGTACGCTGAGGAGAGGAGTGCTGTCAGAACCAAACAGAGAGCAAGAGAGTGGTCCAAGGTACAATATGCAGCTATTGCCATCACTCAATCATTTTAAGATGGCTGCTAGAACTTGGTGGAAACAAACAAAAACCTTATGACATGTAAGAAATTACCAAAAATAAGACCCATGCCCATTTTCTTCCTTTATTAGGCAATGAACTCTGTTTTTAAAACAGTCCTGGACCTGACCTACCCCATCACCTCCATGTTCTCTGGCTCTGCCTTCAACACCAGCATCTATAAAGTGTTCCAGGACAAACAAGCTGAGGTGGGGGTCAAAATATACATTTTTTTTTTTACATAGAATTCATTTACCACTGAAGGAGGTCTTATCATTAGGAAATGAATAAAACTGTGAAAATATTTTTTCCCCCCCAGGACCTGTGGCTGCCATATTTTAACGTCACCACTGACATCACTGCCTCAGCCATGCGTGTTCATCAGGATGGTGAGTGACCGCTGAGGGAACTGCAGGGGCTGCCACCCTGCTCTATTACAACACCATCACATTAGTTTTTACAAGCTTAAGCTTAAGACAGTAGTTTTGCACTTTACTTTACTGTTATAGTACTTTATACAACAGAACAACCAGGATTATTTTCTATCTGTAGCACACATACATACACATGCACAATTAAGGGCATGAGTTATTGCTTACGTCTTTCTTAGCATTTAACACAACTCAATCCAATAATACTGCTCTGAATGACAGAGAACTAATGTGGCATAATCATCAAAACATGTTTCAAAAGTAATTAAACATTGAGTAATGCTTGCAGCAGCGGTCAGAGGTAAAATAGCACATTTAGTAAAACTATTAACTATTTGTATATATAATGATTTTTTGCACTCAGTCAACTCTCAATGGATATAAGTCTTAAACATGAGGCAGGAAACTGAGGCCCATCACGTCACATTACAGATGGCTTGCAAACAAGAGTATGTAAGTGAACATTTAATAAGAATAAAATAAGTTTGAATGACCGGCCTGCATACATCACAGCAATCAAAGCTAATTCAATTGCTCAACTTTACTTACAAACCACCTATTTGCATTCACAAACATTGCAGTTTCAATATAGTCTGAAGTCTACTGCAGCCTGGGGTTTAGCAGAGTTTTCTAGATATATAAACTACCAGTCAAAGGTTTTAAGGAGCAAGTCCAGCAAGTGTCTTTATTTTGTGATATTGGGGTAAATGTATTTTGTTTGAAAAAAGCACCATCACTAACATTAGCTGAAACGAGTGGTCTGAAATGACGCCCCATGAACCTTACAAATCCAGTGAGTCATTTTAAAAGCAGTTTAACTTAATATGATACTCAGTGTAATGCTATCATTTAATTTACAGTGTTGTGCATTAAATGAAGACATAACTGGTGTTATTGTTAAATGTTATTATCATTGAGGCTGCTGACTGGATTTGAGGGTTAATGGGTCTGACAGGTTAGTTTGCATCTTGGCATGTGTATGAACTAACTGCTGGAGCAAAACCTTTCTCTCTCTTATGAGTCCCATCATCTTCCTCAGTTCTTTCTTTCTTTTTCTTTTCTTTTCTTTTCTTTTCTTTTCTTTTCTTTTCTTTTTTTCTTTCTTTCTTTCTTTCTTTCTTTCTTTCTTTCTTCATTAAAAAATCGATCTATGTAATGATTCTATTAAATTCCTTATTTTCTTCCTTCTGACTTCCTCTTCACAAGCTAAACTGATAAAGCTGTAGCTTTTTTGTCTTTAGGATTTGCATCTTAAACTGATTAGATTATATCATAGATATATCTGATCACTATAGTTTACTGCATAGAAAAAATAGCCATAGTTGCTGACCCCAAACTGCTGACTCCCCTCCCCTGTCCGTATCAACATGTAGGATCCAGAATACAGCACCCCGCTCCTCACTCCTTGCTCTTTAATGACATCCCATGTTACTTCCTTCATCTCCATTCTGTGCTTCTCGTAGTTTCTCTGGTCTGTGTTTGTCAAACATCACTATCTCTGGCTTCATTTGCCATCTGCTATTTTGATGGGAGAACGGTACACAGTGTCATGGGTTTGCATTACATCTTTTGGTTTCATCCACAGAGAGAGACTATACCAAGACATTATTAGAAAATGCAAAACCATTTTTTTGGCAATCTTTTTCAACAGTTTGGTGAATTCAGTTTGAGGCCAAACAGTATCTCTCTATCTCTCCTTCTTTCTCTCTGCTTGTCTTTCTTCCACGTTGCTTGTTAAACCAGTCATCTAACAGCGCTAATATACTTTTAATACCTTTAATCAACACATCAAATGAACTTTGCATCACTGTTTTCAGGATATGGAGTTAGTTTGGACCCTCTGTTGTAATGCATTCAACATACTTGTTATTTGTAGCATTGATTGTTATATTTAGTTTTTTATTTTGTCACAGTCACAGGATTATACTGGATTCCCTTTTATAGGAAAACGGCCTCATAGCAGAATTTTGGTTAGAAACCATAGACAAAAGTAAGTTATTCTGTCAACATTGTTTTCCTCTTCCTCTCTGCCTTGCTCTTGGCAGCTTCTTGCACTCTTCTCCTTGTTGCAAGTATTTCTTCCTCTTCCTCTCCTTTCCCCTCTCTTTTTCTGCATTCTTCCTCAAAGCTTCTCTCTCTGTTATTGTCGCTCTCTTTTTCCATCTGTGACATGGAGTCCAGCCCATATTTGATGTGTTCCTCCTTCTCCATCTCCATTTCCTGACAGGTTGTGTCTGGCGCTATGTTAGAGCCAGCGCCTCCTACACCCCCTATTTACCTCCCCTGTGTGACCCCAAGGATGGCCACTTGCTTGTGGATGGTTGCTATGTTAACAATGTCCCAGGTCAGATTTTTAAACACCCACTCACCAGATCCTCCCCATCCCTAAGTCGACAGTCAACCTCTTGGCTCCCCTCCTCCTCTGTCTTCTCCTCTCACTCGAAACTAACCCCATCCTGACCAGGTGGACATTGGGAGCCCATGGTTTGGAAGGAAAGACAAATTTCAATATATGAGGATCTGATCTGATCTGTGCATCATATTTTACTGACTGATTGTATTGACCAATAGGACATATTCTCTCTCCCATTGGCTTCTTTAATCACATGCACAACATACTTTCTCCAGCTGGCTTAGCCCTACCTCTGAATATAACTGCTGACCTTCATTTCTGTGACGTGTTTCCAATTTATGTCTGGACATCTGCGGGTCATAGAGAGATCCATGGTGTTGTGGTTTTTTAAGGACCTCTGTGTCTATCCAAAATGTCCCTTTTTTTTCTTTTACAAACAAACATACCTTTGTTTGCTGTAAACCCTGTTCAGCTGATGCAAATCAGAGTTGATTTGTTTAGATTAGGTTGGATTTTGTTTTGTTGTCATAGCGATGTCTCTGATTGGTGGAGGTCACTACTACAACAACTGCATAAAATGTAGGCCACTATTGGATCGTTTAGTATGATGTTATGTTTACCACAGAGCAGCCAGGATTTCCCTTGAATTACTATAGCTTGTCAATGACAACATTTTCGTTACACTAATATACGAGGTTACTAGACTATACACTATTTGAAATCCTATATACGTACATAAAATACACTAATATATTGCAATTCTGCTTTAGCAACCAGGCCTGGTTCCAAGCTCCAAACTTTTTTATTTGGATGATCGGTCACTGTTAAGCTCTAGAGGCAGCATTGCGTTTTGGATGATACTTCCTGGAGATAGTGAAGGGCTGCACCATGTCACCATCACATCTGTCTGTTGTTGATGCTGTTGTTGTGAACACAGCATGATCCGGTGAGCGTAAACTTGTCTCTACTCTGGACTGAAGTGCAGCTTGTTCGACAATGTGTTTGTGAAGTTTGTTCATTTCAGTCATCCCGACCAATAGGATCATGTTCAGTCTCTCCTACACAGCCCCTGTCCTTCCCCTGGCTTTGCTTGCTTTTATGTGCATACAGTGAGCCTATCTATA